CCTCTTCGTATCGGAACCGCTCTTTGATCGGCAAATAAGACAACAATAGTTGACACAAATCATCACAAAATCTGTCCATTGATTGTCTCACTTCTGTGTCAACTCTTCTCTTCATTTCATTCATTATTATTCATTCAATTGTTGTTTGTATTCAACACTCAATCACTTCTTGTGGTTATTCTTCCACTTCTTATGAGACAATACTTTGCTTTCAATTCATTTAAATCTACAATAAAAATGAATATTATATTAAAATGACATAAATTGTAATTAAATTATTTACGAAATAATACTTACATTTAAGACACTTTAATCTCAATTGAAATTTCGCACATTATTGTTTTGCAATACGTTTACAATTATTAATACAGTATTTATAATATATTCATAATTATAAACACGTTTCCATAGATTTCATACAATTATATAAAACACACAAAATATAAATAATAATTAAAACATTTAATTAAATAATAAATGAATGAAATGTTTATTTGTAATGATTTTTCACAACAAAAGCCAAACAATAAAACGCGTAAAACATGTGATTATAATCGCAATGAATGCCTCTTTTTGTCACAAATGTCGCCCTCTTTTCCACACTATTTTCAACACTAATGAAATCCCTTTTTATAAACTATTTATTCAAATCAATATATTTTTAACAGTTTTAAATTCAATGCAAACAATATATTCAATTTTAAATAATTGTTCAAAATATAACAATTAAATCAAACAGGGGAGGCGATAACATTATAAAATGTTAAATGTGTAATATTTAAACAGCATAATATATTCTTAAATAGTTTATATAACAATTCAAATTAACAGAGTATATATTTAATAATTATGTCATTATAAATTGATAATAAAATTATTTTATTAATTTAATAAGGGTTTGAATAATAAAATACTGTCACCCCAGCTTCACACATGCTAAGTTTATTACAAAACATATGTATAAACTACTATTCTTAGTTAGCCAGTACAACTACCTTTGTGACATCTAACACCAGCGCATTGATTATCTCTTGTTCAGGGCTCTGGATTGGGGGAACGGCGCAGACGGCTAAGCAGTTGTGCCGATCCTAAGTATAGGTGATTGGCCGACGCGGCCACCGGTGACGGCTGGGGTTCGGGTTCGGCGTTTGAGACGGCGGACGGCGCGGCGCTCACACTTATGTCACCACTCATTGCGATTGTGATGACCAACGCTATGGCGCACAACCACATTGTCTTTGACATTCTTTTCATTGCTTGCCTGTAAGTTATGAAGTAATTGTTGTCAATTAAAACAATTAGTTAACATTAAACATTGTTAAGGCTTACGGTAAAGTGTTCAATAGCTGTTTGTCTTAATAAATGGTTACTTTTTTGTAAACTTATGGGTTTGTGTAATTTTATTTAATTAATTTAATAATTAATTCAGCAGCGAATGCGTCAATGAATATAATTTTAATTATTTCATAACACATTACATAATATAACATTGAAAACTGAATATATTATGTTACATATAATTTAATTAGTAAAACATTAAACACATATTTTTAACAACAATTTGTATTAATTCATTAATATTTTATTCCTATAAAACAACAACATTTTACCGACACATTCCCGTTCGCTGACAACACCTCCCGAACCCCCGCTTCTCATCCATAATAATAACATAAATTTTGATACAAATTATAGTGACTTTTGAAAGGGTTCAGCAATTTTGCTGCCATTTGTTTTGAATAAATTGTAAAATTTAATGCAAAAATAGTTTTGTTTTAAAAAATAAGCTAAAAGTTTGACTATAAAAAGTGATAAAATAAATTGAATAACATTTAATATTAAACATATTTTCTGTATTTTAATTCATTTTATTTTTAAAAATCATAAGATATTAAAATTAATTTTAAATATGAAAAATCATATTAAATTACAAATAGTTTTTAAGGTTGTGATGCGCGGACCTGGAGTTAGTTACAAAATACCTAGAACAATATTTAAAAGTCACGAACCCTCACACATTACTGTAATTAATATACAGTATTACAAAAAATAATTGTTTAAAATGTTATTTACAACTAAATTAAAAGTAATACACTATTTATTCATTCACTAAACATTTTTAATAAATCCCTTTTAAAAGGTATCACTAAAATATACATGTTTATAGTAAGTTGTGCCCTCACTATATTAAAACAAATGACCAAGGCTACAAAACAGTTAAAATTAAAATGTTTTTACAAAAAAATTTTTGATCTATAAAACATTTATTAATATAATCATACAGTTATTTATGATAGTTAAAGATATAGTTAAACTTATTATTTGTGTTCACAATATTCTGTATTTTATTCTGTAATATATATTTGGATGTAATAAACAATGCATTCAATAGTAATTCACTTGTCATTTAAATAATACTCACAAAAACAACACAATATGTAAATCTGTTATTAATTATTATTAATTTATAATACAATTTATAAATCATTTCATAACTGTTTTTATTGTTTAATAATTTCTTTGAAATAATTATTAATGAGTTTATAATCAATTGATTTTGCGTTAAATATAGGGATTTGTAATTCAAATTCATGTTTCATTTGTAGGATTATATTAGCGTTTATTTGGTTTGTATTTTCACCAAAAATATCATTGAATTCATTCATTATATCCGAAATATTTAGTGTCACGCCTTCTCCTCTTGTATAAAGTAATGAATTAATAAATGCTTGCATTTGATCCACATTTACACCGAAATTATCCCAAATATGTGTCTTGTAATCAATGTTTTTGTTGTCATTTCTATTAAATTTAGATAATTTGTAATTAATTTAATGTCATTTAATTTGTAATAAAAATATGCATACTTAATATGTGCTAGTTGGTCTTCAAATAAATCATGCATAATCTCCCCAAGTCTATTAAAATATGTGCTCACACTTTGATTTGCATTAAAAAGGTTTACATATCTATAACAATATAATTTCATATAATTTTCACTCATTATATTATTATTTGTAATAAATATATGCTTTGTATTGAATGAAATGTTTTGAATATTTATATCCAAATCAATCAATCCTTGAAAACAATGCAATAATTGTCTCAACAATTGCTGTGAAATAAGGAAATCAATTGAAATGATTGCCAACGAGTGATGGGTTTGTGTCCCAAATATCACATGTTTTGCATTTATGACATCCCATAGAGTTTGCGAACAAAACTCCATTTGAATGTAAATCTCATGAATTCCTATAGAATTGCTTTCAATCCAAGAGTTATAGATTTGTAGCAAATATTGTGGCTTTAATTCAAATAGTTTTCTAATATACGGCACAACAATCTTCACCCAAAAATAAACTATAAATTAAACATTTTAATAATAAGTTAATACATTGAATAATTAAATGATGGAACTTTATTGTAATTTACAGAATTCCGACAATTTGCTTATGAAATATAAAGTATTGTTTGTAATATTCTCAACTTGAGCAAATTCACTAAAATCTTGCTTTCTACCTAGCTTATTATCTAGATTACCATGCCATGTAAACGCCCGGTTGATTACTATTATAGAATTATTAACCATTAATAAAATAGAATAATTATTGAATTATTATATTAGTATACATTATATAACTAATTATTCATTATAATGAAACACTTACATGGTAATGCATCAACGTTTTCGCCTAGTTGATTTAAAAAGTAATTGATATCTGTGAGTTTAAAACAGTAATTTTAGTTAACACAATAAACATGTCACTAAAATTTTTATAATTTTGATTTACCATTATTTTGATCATCTGTTTGGCACACAATACAACTCTTATGACATTCAAAAAAATAATCTAAAAAGAGTTTGAATTTGTTGCCAATTATAGCATCAGAAAAATCACTTTTTTCAACAATAGGTGCAATCGACAAGTGCTTTAATTTGTCTAAAATTACTTCACATTCAGGCCTTTGTTTCCATATATCCTTAATATCTTCACAATTCTCTGTATACGTACTGATACTCATTGATAGCAATAATGTGTACATTTGAACCAATTTTATCTTTAGCTTAATGTTATCAATACTTTCAAATGTAGTTTCCAATCTAAAAATAAAATTACATTTTCATCACAATTAATTATTATTCTTTATACTGTATAAAGTCAATAGAATATGTTTATAAAGTTTATATGTTTATATCTTTAGTTATAGATCGTGTATTAATAATAACATACACTCCGTCTCTGATATCCTCGGAATCGAAACCAAATATTTTCGCTCCAATGAGTGCCAGACTATAGACATCTATTAAATGGTTGTATNTGGTCTGTCCTTCGGGTGCCATATATTGAACGACATCTGCGGTGTGTTTAGCATTGCTTTGATTGTATGCATCACTCAATGCTTTCACTTCTTTAGACAAACCGAAGTCACATAACTTTATATATCTATTAGTTTTGTTGTCAATCAACACGTTATCGGGTTTAAGGTCTCTGTGAATGATATTATTTTTATGCAAATACTCCACACTTTCCACCAATTGTTTGAATATTTGATATGATATATAATATTCAAATTCAGTCATTATTTTCGCAAATAATTGTCTCTTAATTTTTAAAATTTGTGTTAAACTTCCGGCCAAACAATCCATTTGAATGTATAAACAATTCATTTCAATCCACGAGTGATAGTATTGAATGACATAAATTGAGCGCAATTTAATCAAGTTATCCGTTTCTCTCAAAATATTTTCTTTTTGTTTTTCATTCAAATCTTAAAATTAAATTACTATTAATTTAAACAATACTTAAACAAATATATTTGTAATAATTAACTAAAAATAATTACCACTTAATTTGCATTTTTTAATCGCATATTTTTCGTTATTATTCTCCACTTCAAACACGTGTCCAAAACCACCGGATCCTAAAGAATCCAATTCTTTATACATATCCCTGTAATTCATCCCTCGATTCGTTTCTAATATATTATTATAATTAATAAGTATTTATTAATATTAAAATTAGTAAACAATTTATTATACATTGAATTATGTGTTAAACATGTTTAACTATATCTCACCAAAACGCGATGTTGTGTTAATTGTTTCAAAACAATTCACATGTTTAGTGATATCAATAGTTCTATAAGTTTCTTGATATTCATTAGCAAAATATTCATCAAATGTTGTATATTTTGTTTCATTAAATGCCATATAATTTCCATTAAATTCATATACTTTTTTGCCACTAATGCCAATAATAATAGGATTAGTGCCATATCGTAATGGAGCAAGATCATCGAACAGTAAATTATTCACTTTGATCATTTGCTTATTATTTTTTAGATCATATTTATAAACTTGTTTTTTAGTAGATATCATAATTATAATGTCGCGAAACTGCACATCCCTTGACAAATAAGTACATATCATGCATACAGTCATTATATTATCAACATTTACTAATAATTGTGGTGTAATCGGTGTCTCGGAGTCTCCAATCTCGGCCCACATTGTGGTACCGGCTTTACCGCCGCTATACTGCGTTCATCATGAATAATAAGTGCATTAAAAACTTATAAATTGATCATAATTATTTTGTAAATAGAATAGCAAATTGTGTGTTTTATCAAATTTAACATTAGCGCAGACTTATGCTTATTCCATAGGATTAACATTATTCCTAGATTTATCACTACGCATAGACTAAACAAAATAATATTTTTATAAAGTTTACATTTTATGCCTATTTGTGCCCTAAATTAGAAATACTTTAAGTTGTTTTTGACTATTTGTTATCCTATTTAAAAATTACTTTAATACTCAAAACTTAATTAATAATTAATGAATATATAGTTTATACATACAGTTCCCGCTCTCGAGATTACATTTGGCCACAAAAACACCTCTCCGTTGGATGTAATGGCAAATGACTGCTCAGTACAGCACATAATGTCCGCAATTTTGTATTCAACGGGAAATTGTAATTCAATTGGAGTTTGTTTTTCAATTGAATTATACCTCCATTGAAATACCCGTCCATCGGATGTGAGAACAAGTGTTGAGTAGTTATAACACAATAGTTTCTCAATACGTATATCACGTGAATTACATAATAATATTTTGTGCGGTTTATTATAAGTGTATGTATTAGTAAAACTGGTCGACTGATTGCGACCCCATCTGAATATAAAGTGATCGCAATTCAAAGCCACTACAAAATCATATCCATTAAAAAATTGCTGTATATTTTGATGACTTAATTCCTCCACTTCTTCAGGAGTATCGATGGGTCGGTTGTGTCCCAAACCTAACTCTCCGGCACTATTATAGCCCAACCCATAGACCCGATCACTAGTCGTCACAAACAATATGTTTTTGTTTTTCTCATTTATAGCCGTTTCGCCGAAAACATGAAATAATTTGATTTTTTGTCTCAAATTTTGTGGAATTTTAGCACAAATTTCAAACTTATTTAAAATGTCAGACATTTTAATAAAACATAATAATTATTATAAAAATCAAATAATATAAATATTGTTCAATTCATGTTTTATTCAGTTTATGTTTAATACTTATAGAAATATAAACTTATATTTACATATAAATACAGTATATTTGACAGAATAATTATATACATATTGTATTTATAATAATTAATGTTGAATATTTTAATTACCGGTATTTGTGTTGATTAATATATTAATATTAATATTAATATTGATATTTAATATACTTGTAATCATAATTAACACGTTTATATAATAGCAATGTTGATACTTCCATTTTTACAATAATATTACTATTCAATGATCACAATTAGATAAACATATGACGTTAGAATTGCGTACAAGGTCAGCTTATTGGGGAACATACTGCATCTATTAATAGCTAATGTTGCATAATACTTACACAAGTAAAACTATGAAAGTTTGCATTCCAGCGATAGTAATAATAAATATTGGGCTTAATATAAACACACACGACAATTAATAATTATAATTGTCTGTCTCTAAAATAAAATACAATTTAAAAATTTATCAAAATTATTGAATAATTTATTCAAAATAAAATATAAAAGTAGACAGTAATTAATAATGATGTAAATGAGAGTACAACACTGTGAGTGGAAAGGAATCAGTAATTAACCAAAAAAGCAATTATGCTTTGCGAATAATTAAACATAGATGGTTAATTATACTTTGCAAATATATGGGTAATTTTAAATGCTTACATTTGAGTAAATATGAATAGACATAGATTGATAATAAAATGTAAAAAGTTTTTTAAAAAAGTGACGGGGCTGGGAATCGTGCCGGGCCTTTTAAACTCAAATGCCTACACGCTAACCACTGAGCTATGGTGATATGATATAATCATAGTAACTCAATCTCACTTTTATAGATAACTGATTAATTGAACATTCATGAGTATTTCTAAT